AGAACAGTTATGTAAGTTGGTGCTGAGACTAACTGCCCCCCCCTCAGACACACTCTGAGTAGTCTCACAACAACACTGCTCTCCAAACACCAATCTGAGTAAACCAAATCAATAAATAAACAAAGAGAGACAGATCCTAACCAAGTACAGTCTCAGTGACCAGAACTAAATGACTTCTCAAAATCAAAACTAGGGAGAGGAGACAGTATGTATCAGTATGCCACAAGCCAGGGATACTAAATGACCTAGACACACACACTTTGGTAATCTTGTTTGCTGAAACTTTCAGGCCAATAAAGCCCATTTGAATTAAAATTAATTGAAAACAATGGTATCAAATAGGCCTAAAAGCAGTGGTGTAAAAAAAGCACAGTAATTGTCTTACAAAAGTTGCAAAGTCGAAGTATGAAGTATGCTGTTAATATGTGATTCGACATATAAAATGTTAGAGTATAAAACAGAAAATGCTGGTAAGGTTTTTAATGTTACACAGCTGTCCTTGTGGTGCTCATCATCAGCATCTTTAGCCTTGAGATCTTTCCTGTTACAGTGTGATGTGGGATGATTGCTTACCAACCCTGTGATATATGACTGCTGTTCTTAATGGTGCAAACTCAGAGGTTTGGAGGAAAGAACACAGTTTCATCTTGGGTTGGTTGCACTGGCCTTGACATGCCATAACACTCCCTCTGCTACACATTGCATGGCCCACACATTTGTGTGTGTGAGTCAGTGTCTCACATCAGCACACTCTGAGAGTCCTTGTCTAGAGACCTTGAGTGGGGGCCCCTGTTCTGGGAGAGAGTTCAAAAAATTTGAGTAGATAAGAAACTTTTCCACTGTCCTGAACGTTTCCCTTCTTCCCTGCTCTGCTTCTGACATCTGCACCATGTGCCAGATAGGGGATAATAACTAACATTTCACTGGTAACTAGAGTGATTGGAGCATAGCAGACAATGAACTTTGCAGAGGCATCCAACATATGTATCAATGTAGCAAGCCGTCTCTTTGTTACTTTCTCTCTCTCCAGACACATCTGTCCTGTCCACAGGTGTGATGCCAAGGATTGAAACCAAGGAGGGAGGATAAGTGCTGAGTGAGCACAGACAACAGCTCCTCTGTCTTTCTCAAACATCTTCAAGGTCCCTGTGGAGGGATAAATGGCCAACAGGAGGTTCTTTCCCAGGAGAGACTCATCTGGAGCTTTATGGGTAAGTCCACTTCACGCTTCATGCATTTTATAACTCTATTCATTAAACAAATGTAAAAAATAATAAAAAAGTTTGAAACTAGGAATATATCATCTAACATTTGAAGTGTTTTCAAAAGATAGAATGTACATTTGGTTTCACTTTTATATTCAACAAGTAAAGCTATTTTGATTCTAAATATCAAGCAGCCCCACCCGGTCAGACTGAAGGGATATGGGAGCTATTTCTTCTGTTGTATATGCTGGCATGTAACTGAGAGGCTTTCTTCATGCCCACTCTTCAGGTTCCAGTGTGCAGCAACAACAGGCAGCAGGGCAGGACTCGCTGTTCCTTTTTCCTATGCATATACCTTTTTGAGATGTAGCTTTAAAGAGGCATAGGGCATGGGAAAATGGGGCTGCAGAGGTATCCCACCAGGCAGACAGCTGTTTCATCATCCTCACACTGCCTGCAGATGATCTTTGTGTCTCTGTGATTCTTTTTTAAATATAATATCATAACTCTGATTTCTTCATATTCATTCAAGATGACATTGTGTGTGTTTGCTATATTACTGTTCATTTGAAACATCTTTTTACCAAAACACTGTCTTTGTTTTTATTTGGAATAAAGACATCTTGGTATAAAAAAAACTGCATTATGTTTTTTGACTATTTAAATTACATGAGATCTTTAATTTGAGGAGACTGAAAGAAACAGCGTAGACATTTTAATCATTTTTGTTGTTATGTTTACGGGCATATACATGTCATAGAGCAATGATACACTAGGCAATTGTTTGGGCAACTCTGATTAGCAACAGTGCCTGAGAAATTGCCTTGGTATTGCTGCTTTCATCCCATACAGGACATTTTTTAGCAGATTTACAAATGTGTTTACCTTTATGCAGCTAAAAGTGTTTCCAGTGTCACTCACAAATGGCATATAGTTTCCTAAAGCTTCTATTCATTTTTTATCAAGTCTAATATTGACACTGCACATACTAACAGTGGTAGAAGAAGTGCTCAAATTGTTTACTTAAGTAAAAGTAGTGATACCACAGTATAAAAATAAGTCTTGCATTTAAGTAAAAGTATAAAAATACTCATCAAAATATACTTAAAGCGCCAAAAGTAATTGTACTCATTGTGCAGAATAGCACTTTTTAGATTAAAGTATATTATATTATTGGATTATAATTATTGATGTACTATTGTGTACATCACATGTAATGATGAGTGTGGTAAAGGTGGAGCTAACTGTACCTTACAAGCTGCTAATATGAAGGACTGGTGGGTATTTCATGAATTTCACACCAGGGATCATTAAAGCCAGATGATTGTGTTTTATTTTGAAAACTTAATCCAATTCTGAAAAGTAATTAATAACTAAAGTTATCAAACACATGTAGTGAATTAAAAAGTACAATATTTGCCTCTAAAAAGCAGTGAAGTCATAGTGTGAAGTGGCAGAAAGTGAAAATACTCAAATAAGGTACAGATACCTCAAACCTGTACTTAAGCACAGTACTTCAGTAAATGCACTTAGTTACTTTCTTGATATTGTGAGAATATCAAATATACTATCAGCAGAATGCCCCTAAAGCATCAGAAGTAAAAGTACTTGCTCTGCTGCTCTCTGTTCCAGCATCCACACAGTTAGCACTGCTCTCACTGAACTTGTAAACAACCTTTGGCCTTTCCCATCATCCATCCTTGGCTCCAGCCTGTCTGCTGCAATCCAGCTGCAGCTGTAGTGAGACTGTTAGCACCTCTTCACCTACCACTCACCTGACTCCAAGGGATCAGTCAAATATTCATTTTCATTCAACTACTCACCAGTACTTTGCCCTCTCACAATGGATCATTTATTGATGCTCATGTTGCCATTAGTGCCAGGAATTACCCCAGTTAATGTTGCTGACTGAGGCCTTGCACTATCTGGTGAAGTGCTGTACTGTATAAATGGATGTATGCTTCAGTAAGCCTTTAAATGAATAATGTTCTTTTCATCATAATACTTACTGATGCATGGAATTCTAATAACATCCTCTGATAATTGTGCCTCCTGGTAGGAGATGTCAGCATTTATTTTCCTTTATAAATTCACTGGTATATGCTGGGAGCAGACACTAACCACACACATCCTGTGAATCAGGCATGTGGCTGCTTAATATAAGCAGCCAAAGGAGCCAGATCTGACTGACACATCATATATCAGTGTCTCATAACCTGCAGTGAATGTAATCACTCAACCGGTAGGGTTTTCTTTCTGAATATTTAGCTAGTGCCACCTAATGACTTGAAGGTGAGGCCATATACACCTTGGGCAGACGTGAAGGCGCCCTCCGTTTGCGTCTTCCATGTAAGTGCGAATTGTTCAATTGGGAGACAATAGAGCTCAATGGAGCTCAATGATCTAGCACTTACCTCGTCTTTGAAGTCCCTTTGAAGATGCAAATCTACAGCAAGCAGAACGGTCCATGCCCCCGGAAGCCAAATGGAAATATTTTTAACCACTCTACAGGACCGAAGCAGGCTGGCCAGTGCTTGTTATTTCTCAATTTGATCATTTTCCATAATGTGTGCTTGCAGATATTTTAACAAACAAGTGACCTGAGTGTGAAAAAAACAGCTTGCTTTTTTAAATTGTCCACAGCGACTATGAAGTTTCTTCAAAGGGAAAAGTAGAGGAAGATAAAAAAAACAGCATGATCACAGTATGGTGAAAACAGGAACCGTAGGCTGGAACATTTGGCCCCTTTATTACAGCTAACATCAGTGCTGCAACAGATGGCAGCTGTGATGATTTTCTGGATTTTGCTATTCATCATGTGCTGTCACTTACACATTTCATATTAATCACTGTGCAAGGAAATCATTATTAAATTTGTGCAAACTCCCCCTCAATATATTACTTTAAAGACAACATACAATAGCCTAGTTTATATACAGATGTCATAATACAAAACCTAAGTGTGAGATGTTATGATATAGGTCATGCACTAAGCTACCAATAGAACAGCTGGAGAAAACACTGTATCAAAATTGCAAACAATTTTGGCTCAAAGAGTGAAGAATTGAATGTAATCTTGCATTTAGTTTTATTTGTGATTTAAATTTTACTGTGAACATATTTACATTATTTGAATCATTCATACAATTTACATTAATATATCATGTAGACCGTCTGACATGTTCACAGCCTCAATCTTTGAGAGAGCAATGGAAAAGGTATCTAGATTCTAGACAGGAATTAGGCAGAAAACCTTGACAGAGCTCAATAGAAGTGAGGAGGCAGGATGACCGGGTAGGAGCGGGGCTGGGGCTGGGGCAGAGGAGGGGAGAGGGCCGTCCTTTGGAACAGCTGCTGGCACGGAGCTGTCCGCTCAAGACGCGGTGCTGAAATAACAGAGGAGGCAGTAGCACGGCCGGGACCGACAGAAACTCAGGGAGCACACCCTGGACCTCCTGTTTCAGCTTCACCCTTCTGTTTTGGAACCACGCTTTCACCTGGAAAATGCAACACAGCCATTAATTATCACTCGTATGCGCATTATGAATCATACAATGAGTTTATTTATTGAGCTTGAAAGCCCACACCAGCAGCTCCACACTTTAACTACCATCAAACCTATGAAATTTATTTCACTTTGCTGTGACTTGATTGGGGACCTGGGCAATGTCTCTGGAGGCCTCTTGCCACATATTGGTGCCCTCTGTCTCAAACCAACCTGAGTTTCGGAGAGGTTCAGCCTCTCAGCAGTCTTCCTTCTCCATGTAGCACCCACGTATTGTGCTTGATGAAGGTATTCTCCAGTTTGCTAATTTGCTCGGATGTGAATTTGGTCCTCATCCTTTGTTGCTGGATGGCTTCACCTTTGCTGTCACCTCCCACCTCGCCCTCAGATCCCGAAGAGTAAGTGCAGCTAACTGAATGGAAGATCAGCAATTTTAATTAACTTAGTGAAAATCAATACCTACACAGAGGCCTGTAGATTGCAGCTCTCAAGACAAAGTTTATCAAGCAAATTTACTGTTTGGCGAGGCCGGCGTATATTGGCTTCTCGATTTCTTTGTAAATTCCTCCTTCTCACTGTGGACTGTGTCTTTAGGCTGCAGGGTCCTCTCATCATAGAAACCTTTAGAAAGCCATTCTACTGAGAAGATTGCCATGTTGTGTCCGCATTTTGAAGGTTTGTGTTTCTGGCCTCATGTAGTAAGGGCACGCTTCTTTATTTGCATATGGAAAGAGATCTCAACGAATGATAGAGACTTGATGGTTGTTGTAATTGAGGATAATAGAGGCTGGGTCGTGGTTTTTCTCACGTTCATGGCTGGTTGAGATGCCCTGGCGCCAGTAAGTCTGAATGTCAGTTACCTGGTAGCTCGGGCTAAATGATCTCTGCATGAAGTGATTCAGAACTATATTCACCACTGAATACAAGATGCTCAGAGCTGCTTTGGGTCCCAGTGTGTCTTTCTCCTAACGCATAATTAGAAATAACCCATGTTCTATAAAATGTCAATATATCAAATAAAAACATTTTGTTGTCTGAGCAATGATGCGTCTGGAGTTCAAAATGACAAAACTGTTAAAATTTTAAAGTATTTTTTGTAAAACTTTGAAATATCAAGACAATTCAGCCCCTTTTGTTCAGGGAGAGTTGCTTGCAGCCTGTCACAATGACGAAGTCTTTGTTAGGGTGTGACCCCTGTCCGTTTGATCTTTATTGACCTATGTGAAAGAAACATTTATTTGAGGGATTCTGGGCATCAGCTAACCTGTAAGACTCCAAGACAGCTGAAGATGATATTGTTTTCAAATCAAACTTAATTCCAAAAGACAATGTACAGCAAGTATTTGTATATAGCAATTATTTCCCTGCATTTGCAGAAAGTGAATGTGGAGTGGAAACATGAAAATAATGTCCTAAGTCAAATAATCTAAGAATAAACTGCAAATATTGGCCTACAAGTAGCTATTCATTACCTTTGTTGCTGTGCATTTAGTTGGGTATCTCCAAATCTCATCACATCATTAGGTTTTAACCTCAGGCCTCAGACTTCAAAGTAGAGATCAGATTCAGTGGCCACACTAAACTCCAGACTCTGTGGAGCCAGGCCAGAGTGTAAACTCATCAATGAATGGCTTAACTGGGACTAATTGTTGACCATGATCTCCCCGTTAGCTGGCTTTTGAAGTGCAGAGATGGGAATTAACAACGCATATGAAACAGCGCATTGTTGTTTACAGGTTAAAGGAAAAAAGCAGCACTGACCACAAAGTCTGTATGAGGCTCGCATGGTGTATTTTATGTTTTAAAACAGTACATGGCCCATTATCCTCAGTAGCGGAATGTATTATGATTTGTTTATATGGATTACTTTGGGCTTTTTTCTCATATCATCATGAGAGAACACACAATGAGCTGTGGTAAGAACCTTTAACCTTAATGAACAGCCGCCATCCTTATCAGTTCATTCTATTCTCTTCTAAAGATGAAAGACATGATGATCCATTTATGTTGAACTAATCCCACAATAAAGGTAACATCAGCTGATATCCAATGATTGCGCCAACAGCTTTTCGCAAAGCAAAGAGGATACACAGTTTAGTGCTGCAGTACAGAAGGTAAACTTTATTTGAAGATAAATATATTTTTGTTAATTATATACACGTTTTATATCACATATAATAAAAACACGTCAAATAAGATAACTCTGGATTGCACATTTGTGATTTTTAAGTGTTTCCGTCGGAAAAGTCTCTAGTTGGCAGACCTTCAGTAGAAATATGGGTTATGCATCACAAGATGAGAAGAGTGATGAGGGGGCATCTGCGGCTGGAGAAGTATGTGCGGGACAGAGTGTGGGAAAAAGGCCGGGCCTGTGGCGGGGTAGTGAGAGCGCTGTCCGGCCATGCTGTGGTATTGAACCGCGGGGTGGAACATCATCTGTGGAACTTGGGGAGCGAGGTAGTCCTGGACCTCCCGCTTCAGCTTCATCCTCCTGTTTTGAAACCAGGTCCTCACCTGAGAGAAAGCAAAAATAAAGTTATTATCCCGTGCGATATGCAATGAGACTTTAGTCGTTAAAACCTATTTAAATGATTTAATTGTGCTGAGAATCCAGGCTCACCTGAGTTTCTGTGAGGCTCAGCTTCTGTGCCGTCTTCACTCTCTCTCCAGCATCCAGGTATTTGTGCTTGTTGAAGATTTTTTCCAGTTTGCTGATCTGCTCGGGGGTGAATTTTGTGCGCACACGGCGCTGTGGTCCCTCTTTTCCCGTCTCGGTCCCCTCATCCACAGAGAGACACTCAGAGGAAGCAGCTTCACTCTCATACCCGGAGGAATAACCGCTGGTTTCTGAAACTGAAGCAAGGAACACTAGTTACAAACACCACGTGTGCACAGTGGCTGAGTTATCGGTTTAAAGTTGGGAGGCCTATGCTACTTACTTGGTGAAACAAAGCTTGTTGGATGCACAAGTGCGCACGGGCTAGAGTCCTGATGTCCGCTGCTCTCCACTGGCTCCGTGTATTCAGCGGACTTTGATGGTTTGGGTTTGGGCTGCAGGTAACCTTTGCCAAAAGTAGGAGGACGAGGCTGCACCATGCAGGGAATATGAGGTCTACAGGTTGGCGCAGTATCCATATCAGTTCCGTGGTTCTCAACCAGCGCGGAGTTGTGATGGCTCTGGGCCAGCCAGTCCACAGAAAAGTATTTCACCATGTTTACAATGCACCTCAGAGACCCGCAAACCCACCGAATGCCAAAGGGTCTACCAGCAGTTCCTGTCCAGGGGCAGGTTTTATAGAGCCCTGGCCCTCGCCGCTGTTTGCATATGTAGAGGCACTTGTTAACGCCTGATCCTTTCCAATGATTAGAGGTTAATGGCTCGTTATTGAAAATTTACATATCCTGTGAGTGTGTGAAAACCTGGTGCCGCCAAGTCTGTGAGAATCCTCCTTTGCCCGCCCAGACTGAAACTGGGATACAGTATCTCATGCCTATGGGATACAAGGTCCCATTGCTGCTGCATAGGGTAGCATCGTCTCCCTAGTCTTAAAGTTCATATTTTAAACAACTTTCTCCCACATGAATATGTAATTTAAAATACAATAATGTTACCTGGGTCTGACGAAAATAAAAATAATGAACAACTTGTGGTTCAATGATTATAGTTACCAAGTATAGGATTTGCTCTTAAATCAGTTTTCTGGAACTTAGACCATAACGTGTTTATGTCTGGTGCATATTCACTAGCTGCATAGAGAAGAGGGTCAGAATATTGGGAACAGCTCTGAATTATATGTAGCCCAGTTCAACACCACCTTTGACTATGACATCAATAATAAACATATGTTGGTCTTTGGTTCTTGTTACCATTGCAAACTCTGAGATACGAGACAGTCCAAGTAACTTCAAAACAGTGCTGATTTATTCAAAGGATCACAGGTAAAATATCTTGCACCTCCAAACTGCACGCAGACAGATGTAAGATGAAAGACCCTGAGCCCACCAGGCCTATACATTATATCCCCTCGGTTGGGCTAGCCCCATACTACACAGAAACGTCAACCGAGACGTCTCTGTTGCCAGCTTTGCAGCTGGTCATAATAGTAGTCAAAACATGAAGCAAATCAATGTG